CAGGATCTGTTTTTGAACTTTATTTTTTTCAGGAGTGGATATGAATGGAATATTTTCATTTATAAAGGATAATGTTTTAGACATGGGAGTTTTTTCACGTAAATCTTCATTTTCAGATTTGTCAGTTGTGGTCAGTCCGGATGAGGTAGTTGGTGCATTAATGTCTGTAGGTACAGATTCACTGTTGGTTTTATTCTCTGATGAGTTTATTAAATATTTGTTTTCCGTTCGTTCTGAATTTGAGATCAATTTGCGCAGCTCTTCAATTTTAATTTTATGTCTACATAGGTTTTTTGTAAAGCATGTAAAGTAATATATTATCTAAAACTTTCTTTTGATCTGTTATTCGCTTCTTCAATTTTTCACATAATCGTGCATTTAATGCACAACACTTGTTGTTCTTTGGTTTTGCTACACCACCTTCTTTTTGTTTTTTATTTTTGGCAAGTCTCCATTCTCGTCGCTTTTTTTCCTTTTCTTTTTCAGTCAGTTCTGCAATTGGTCTTCTTTCATGTATTCTCTATGCTTCTTCTTTTTCTCCTCGTATTTTTCTGCATTTTGTTTTATTTTTTCACGGTATTTTCTTTGTCTCTCAGCATTCGACATTGGCGCCATCTAAAAGTAAGCATGTAAAGTCAATTAGTTTTAATTTATGCACAAATACGTCCAAAAAGTCCAATCCATGAAATATTAAAATAATAATAATAGATTATTCCAGAAATAGATGCCAGTATATTTCATGCATATATATAAACATATAAAAAATAAACAAAAACCGACAGAGAGTTTTTCTTGTTTTTATATAAAAATATAAATTCTAAAATTCCTCCTTTTTTTTTGAAGTCGGTTAAAAATACGAACAAAACCAAGCGGTTCGGAAGATGAATGAGGTTTTCGTTCGGAGTGAACAACTCGTTATTGATTGCAGGTGCAGTTACTATACAAACTGATTCGTTTTACCAAGTGTTACTCACAAATCTATAAAATCCTGTGAGTAACAATCAGCAGTATGAACTAGCCCTAAGTAGTGTTACGTTATCCACAGCAAGGAAAAATATGGATTATAACCTCTAAAATGCATCGTCATACAACAAATATCTTACCTTGAAAACAATGTCTCTGTGTTGTATGAGCACCAAAACATACTATTTCAGACTGTGTATACAGACCCGCGTAATTCACTTTAGAATTTATCTCACTCACTAGTTTTTCACAGGAATATTTTATTATAAACTTAATGAAGTGACAACATGGCGTTCTCAAAAGTCACGAGATGTGAGTAACAGTGTTGCTAGCATAAAATATAATTGCGATATGGTAGAATTTCTTTTCGGGAGCGTTTAAAACACCGTTATCAACCTGGAGTTATTCACAGGAATGATATTTGGGATTTTATTATAAACAGTAATTAAATAATTATAGACATAATAAATTAACGATTACATGAATGAAAACAATAATTAAGTCACCGGTTTTTACTTAACAGTATATAATATTGCAAAAATTGCCTAGTATTGATTATTTTATAATACGTAAATTTTGATTACGCAATAGGACACTTTCATTTTGTATGGACGTGAAATTAGTGACTTTAGTTTGCTAATATTTTTTTCGGTATAGTTATATTCTAAACATAACTAAAATGGCTTGTTTTCCTGTAAATTAATTGTCCTTTAAAACAAAATTGGTTATAACTTGTTATGACCCGAACTAATCTATTATATCTATTATATAAGCTGAAAACGGTCGAGGACACATATTTTTTAAAATCATGTACGATTATTTTGACCTCTACCCTCTTGTTATTCTATATATACCATGCTGTGTTTCGTATGTGAATGTTGAAAACCGGAAATCCTTTCTACGAGAAATGAGGCATTTCATCTTAGTTAAGAGTAACAACGAGTCTGAATTTTTAAATTTTAGTTGAGATTAGATGTAGATGTCAGTGATGACTTACGGAACCGAGACGTGGTTCTTCACTGCTGGTCGTATGAGGACGCTCAAAGTCGCTCAGCGAGATATGGAGAGAGCTATGCTTGGGGTTTCTCTGCGTGATAATGAGGATATCTATAGTAGAACCAGAGTGACCGACATAGCCCAACGGATTAGTAAGCTGAAGTGGCAAAGGGCCGGCCATATAGCTCGAAGAACCAACAACCGTTGGGGAGAAAAGGTTCTCGAGTGGCAGCCTCGTACCGGTAGGCGAAGTGCAGGGCGACCCCCAACTAGATGGAGTGACAACCTTGTAAGACATGCAGGACGTCGATAGATGCAGGTGGCTCAGGACCGTGCTTTGTGGCATAACTTTAGGGAGGCCTATGTTCAGCAGTATGCTTGTGAAGGGCTGTAATGATGATGATGATGTAAATGTCTATAGACCCCAGAATCCATTTAGCATCTGGTGTACTCTGTACTCGTATGACATAAAAAATTTAATTGCATAGGCTTACTATACGTTTCAGACTAATCCATAGCAGTGGACGCTCTGCTGTTGCTGGCTTTAACAGGTAAGAGGATGGTTCTTACCCAGACGTACTCCTATGCAAAAGAGGAGTCCTATTTTTGTCTTGTATGAGTATAATTATGTAAAATTAGATAATTTTTTAAATGTATTTTATCAAATTTTTAAAATACTCGTAATTTTTTATGTTCATTGCGCAGCAATTTTGATAAAAGGATGGATGGCATTACTTTTTTTTAATTGCAGTTACGCAATTACTCAATACTTACTTTACTAATACTTAACCTCTTAGTTACCAAGTGGTTAAATTTGACCGCGGCGATATTCCGTCAAACCACAAGAGGTTAAATTTGACCGCTCACACCCACAGCAATTTAACCCATAAATACTTATGTTTATTAGGGACTACTTTTCTACGATGGAGTTTGGCATAATAGAATCAATATAAAGTTTTCTACCCTCAAGTGGAATAAATATTCATTTACTTCATGTATTTATTTGTAATCAACGTTCATTACGTACGCCATTTTCGTTTGTATATTGTTGTGTTAATTTTTGGATTTTTGTTAGTGAATATCTACTATCTTTTGACGTAAATAATTTCGAAATATATATAAATAATAGTGATTTTCACGTTGCCGACATCCGCTTGATATGCACCCGTTTTTTGGTATTAAAATACAATAAAATCTTTTTTGTAATGAAGCAAAACCACTAAAACAAGTAATATAACATAATAAATAAACAGGAACATGTATTATATTGAAATTTATAATCATTTTATTGAAAATAAAAGCAGTAAAATATGTCTTAACTAGTTTCCTTACGTAATATCTCAATGCAGTAACAGCAATATTTATTACCTACTGATACTGATATTCGGTCGGTACAGCGTTGGCGTGTAAGTTTTTTAAACTGTATTTTTCACTGCCAGTATTATACTTCCCGTGATATCATTTTGAGTGCTTTGTCTTTATTCATTTACCAGATATTAAATACACCTTTAGTTCTCTCAAATAAAAATATATTTCTAAATCTTTATAAAATATATCTCCATATTAAATCTTTTCATTCAATTGAGTAGTAAAATATTTCGTACATGGGCTTTTTCTGTTATAAAGACTATATGCCGCGATTTTGTTTAACAAGCTTTAACACAAAAAAGGAAGGAAACATATTGAGTGCTGAGCAGACATCCGTAAAATTATGTTATCAGGTAGCCTGCTATGTACAGAGTGCAATTTAGCCTTTAATAAAATGTTATTTAATAGCTTTTTTTACTTTATCAGACTTTTTAATCTACTGCTGATATGTGCCTGTTTTACTAGTTATAAGCTAGTGCTTGATCACAATTCCACCTGGTGGTAAGTGGTAATACAGCCTTAGATGGTAAATTACACTATCTTAGCGTAACAAATGCTTATTAACTCTTGTTTTGAAAACGCCCATATTGTATTCGGACGTAAAGATAGACGCCGGCAAATTATTCATCTCATTTTCTGCACGCATTAAAAAAGTCGAAGCAAACCGTTTGGTTCTAATGCGTGGAATATTGACAACAAAGGGATGTAGACCCGCCGACCGCCTGGCAGCCCGATGGTGGAAAGGAAAAAGAAGTATTAAAGAATGCGATTCGTGCGCACAATTACCGAAATGCATCCTATAGAATAACGAGAGGCTGGCTACTCTGCGCCTATGCTCGAGGCGGACAAGGTTTATTTCAACCAAATCAAGGTTACCAATGAGCCTCTTAGCACGTCGCTTTACTTATTCCAACGCTGCCAGGTAATATTTTGCGGCACCGGCCCATATATGACAGCATTACTCCATGAACTTATAGCGTATAGGGCCACTGCCTGGGGGTCGCCGGGGCGCGTCTGGAGCTGGCGCTGGACGCGGCAGCATGCGGGCCGCCAGCCGAGTGCGAGGAGCTGCAAGATCACCTAGCAGCCCCCGCATCCATAATCCCCACCGGACGGCTTGATGTCGGCAGGGTCCTCTCGGACTCGGCAAACGGCATCCGCCGCTGGTGGAGTGCGCCGCATGCGTTGGACAAGGGATATGAACGCAAACGCATTGCGGGCGTACTATAGGGCAAAAGGGGAAGAAACTGCGGGGATAGCGTATCGGGCTCGGATGCATTGCTTTTTTGCTGAGCTGGAGCCGTCTATTCCCATCACGGAACAAAACCTGGCAGACCGAGTTCGGTACATCATGCGCTCGAAAATATTTGATGATGCCGAGCTCGAATGACTACGACGTGAGGCCATTCCCTCATCGAATGAATTGGCTACTATTGGGGATGCGGCTCCTCAGGCGACAGACCAGCTGCCACGCGTAGAAGCTGCCGTGGATCGTCCAGTTGTGGTTGATTCAGACGATGATGAAATGGTCTCCCACGAACTGGAGCAAATGAGGAGTATATTGGAAGAGGCGATTTTGGAAACGCGCAGCATGCCTCTCAAAAATCGACCGCGACTTCCCCCGCATAGCCCTAAGCAAACGAAATCGAGCTGCCGTGAGGGCTCTTAACCCAATGCTGGTAACGTATTTGGAAGCCAACCGGGACCTTTGTGAGACGGACTCAATTGTTTTTGGCGCCGCAGTGGCAGCTTGCCGTATAATTGGCGCCAAACTTCTCATGGCTGGACGCGCTACTAAACAAAGTAGCGCCATACCAACCTGGAGAAAAGGAATTGAGGACCGTATTGTAAAGGCAAGGGCCCTTATCGGCAGACTGATAAGCTTCAGGTCGGGTAATAATAGACCGAGTGTCGTGAGCACCGTTAGAATGGCGTTTGCTGGGACAAATATCAGTTTGTCCCAGCCGGATATCACGCAGAAACTAACGGAGCGCATAGACGACCTGAAGCAAAAGATTGAAGATTGCTGCTTGGGGGAAGCGGATTCGCCGATTTACCGAAAGGTCAAGGCGGTTCAAACAGAATCGTCTCTTCCAGAGTGATCGGAAGAGGCTCTACAAATCATTGGAGCGACCAGAGGTATGTGGAGCGGGCCCAGGATCGGATCAGGCTAACACTGTCGTATTTTGGCGTGGCCTGTGGTCAGAGCCCGTAAACCACAGCGAGGGCCTTTGGACGGAAGTTGTGGCGAGTGAGTGTGCGAGTATTACGCCCATGGACCCCGTCATCATAACGCCGGATGACGTAGCTGAGGCGGTTCGTAGAGCCACGAACTGGAAAAGTCCGGAACTTGACGGACTGCATCACTACTGGCTGAAGTGGTTCATGGTGTGTCACGCTGTGCTCGCCCGTCAGTTTTAAGAGGCTCTTAACCAAAAGTCGCTCCCTAGCCTCTTCACTACTGGGATCACTCATTTGGTTCCTAAAGACCAGGTTACCACAGACCCGAGCAAATACCGCCCCATTACGTGTCTACCCACCATATATAAGACACTGACATCCATTTAGAGCGTGAGAATCACTCGTCACCTAGAGCTAAATCAGGTGATGTCACGCGCTCAAAATGGATGTCGGGGCGGTGGTCGTGGAACTAAGGAACCACTCCTCATTGACGCGGTCATTGGCAAAGTGGTGAAACGTAACCGTCGGAACTTATTATTATTATTATTATTATTCTGACCTTTTGTGTTCGTCCATCATACCGTCGTCCGTCTTGTAGAATCACGGTAGCGCCACCTAGCTGAATTTAATTTTGCAACATATTCGATTTTCCCACGGGAATTATATGTTTTTCCGCTGAAAAAAGTAGCCTATGTCACTCTACAGCATCCGAACTAACTCCATACAAAAAAATCATGCCATGCCGACGCTCTGTTGCGACGTGAAAGAAGGACAAACTTTTTGCAACATATTCAATTATGATCCGTTGATTGATTATAAAAATCACAGGTTAGTTGTTATCGGACGGATGGACGAGACGTATCGATTTTGCAGCGCTTTAAAATGGAAAGATGAGATCGCAGGCATGTGCTGTTCCAATGGCAAAGTGTCTCTTACGTTGCTTGGGGAACCAGAAGAACCTTTGAAAACTCTCTTTTTATATGATACTAATAAGTCACGGCACTTTTTAAACAGGATCCGGAAATATAACTCATGCTTTCAAATAACGTCCTTCGGAGTTGACCGGGAAATAATAATGCCGGGATTTTCGCCTACATTTACGGTGCAAGGGAAAATTTATCATAGAATAAGTTCAATTTTCCAGCTGAAAACGAACAGCATAAATTTTTACAAGCATATTTTATGGGGAAATTGAGGTAGACCGTCGCTGCCAATTCATCCAGGGAGCTCAGAGAGACACAGTGTTCAAAATTCGAAGATTCTTGCATGAATGTAACATTTTAGTCGAAACATTTAAAACTGCTTTAGAAAACCTAACTGAAGAGGATTATAAAGTCGGAAGAGGATTATAAAGTCGTCATTCATGCAGATCGGACCCCTCGAGGAGAGCATGAAAGGCGCTACAATGCACCTTTGATAAACGAAATAGCAGCCGAACAAAAAAGTATCATGTATGGATTTTTATACGTATCATATTATGTTGCGAGAAAATGATTTTAACTCCTTGCCCGGTGTAGAAAATTATTTCATCAATTTTGGTAGACATGTATGTGAAGGTAGAAAATGAACGTCTTCGTTATATATCTTTAAATCAAAAAAAGCTGCGCGTTGAGATATATATACATTTACATGATGCAGTTTCTAGCGACGCCAATGTAAACCCCAGAGATTTAGGTAAAATGGTAATTCTGCCCTCATCATTCATTAAAAGTTCCCGCTACCTACATGAGTAAACACAAGACGCATTCGCCTATGTACGAACTTACGGAAGACCTGATCTTTTTGTTACTTTTACTTGCAATCCCACATGGAAAGAAATAACCGAGGAGCTAATGCCGGGCCAAAAAAGTACTGACAGACACGATTTAGTTGCTAGAGTATTTAGATTAAAAGTACAAAAATTTATGTATGTAATTAACAAAGGGAAAATTTTCGGAGAGGTGCAGTGCTTCATGTATTCAATTGAATGGCAAAAAGAGGATTACCGCATGCCCACATTCTAATATACCTTAAAGAGAAGTTGCGGCCCAGTCAAATAACGACATAATAAGCGCCGAGATTCCGAATCCTGAGCAAGATAAAAAATTGTATGATACCATCGTCCGAAATATGATTCACGGTCCATGAGGAGCACAAAATTCAATATCGCCAAGTATGAAAGAAGGAAAATGTACAAAGAAATTCCCTAAACAGCTATTAAAAGAAACAGTTTACCTTTTATACAGGCTACCTTTTATACAGACGCAGAGCTCCCGAAGATGGTGGCAGGAAAGTTACAATCAAATCTCGCTCTGGAGCGTTCGAAACCTTAGATAACAGCTGGATTGTCCCGTATTCGCCCATTCTATGTAAAATGTTTAATGCCAACGTTAATGTAAGCATGTAGCTCTGTCCGCGCAATTAAGTATATCTGTAAGTACATAAATATAGGAAGCGACCAAGCAAATTTTAATCTCAGGAGTAAAGGTGAAGCAAATCCCGTTAATAAAGTACAGACCTTTCAAGTAGGGCGTTATGTCAGCAGTAACGAGGCAGCGTGGCGTCTCCTTGGTTTCCCATTACACGAAAAGCACCCAACAGTTACTCACCTTGCTGTGCACTTAGAAAATGGAGAGCGTGTATATTTCACCGAAAGAAATTTCCGAGAAAGAATTGCATCACCGCCAAAAACTCCAATAACAGCCTTTTTTCAACTTTGTCAAACCGACCCCTTTGCAAAAACGTTGTTATATTCTGAAGTTTGCCGCTATTATACTTGGAAAACATCTAGGAAGGAGTGGAAACGCCGTATTCAAGGCGCGCCTGTTGCAAATTGGCCCGGTGTAAAGTCATCAGATGCCATTGGTCCTGTGTATACCGTGCATGTAACTAATTTTGGATGTTTCTGTTTACGATTGCACTGCACCATGTTCGGAGTCCTACAGGATATAAAGACCTTAAAATTGTCAACGGTCAGGAATGCGCAACTTATAGAGAAGCATGTGAAGCTTTGCATCTTTTAGAAAACGATAATCACTGGGATGAAACCATGGAGGAAGCGCCAGTCACCAGCCAAAATTAGGGATCTTTATGCAACTCTCATATCATCTTGCGGGCTATCTAATGCACCTGAATTGTGGGACAAATATAAAGAGTACATGGCAGAAGATATTTTGCGAAGAGCAGACACACGCGAACACGACATACAATGAACACATTTATAATGAAGCACTTGGAAAATGTGAAGATAAAGTAATGGCAATGGTCGACAAAAATAAAGCGACTTTGGAATGATAAGCCATCAGCGAACAACCGAAAATGAACTAAGTGATGAAATTATACGTGAAACAAACTACGATATACCAGCTTTGCAGCAGCAAGTAGCCGAATTTGTACCCCGCTTGCTTCCCGAACAAAAACGAGTTTTTGACAAAGTATTAGGACAAATCTGGAAATGGTGCACTTTTCTTTTTAGATGCCCCTGGAGGAACTGGGAAGACATTTTTGTTAAATTTATTATTAGCGCAAGTACGGAAAGATAAAAACATTGCTGTGGCCGTAGCTTCCTCCGGTATAGCCGCCACGCTGCTAAGCGGAGGCCGCACTGCACATTCTGTTTTAAAACTCCCTCTAAATCTAGCTCAGGAAGAATCGCCGATCTGCAATTTTACCAAAAATAGTGCACGAGGTATAATGCTACGACAATGCAAACTTTTAGTGTGGGACGAAAGTACAATGTCGCATAAAAAAGCTGTAGAAGCACTAAATCAAACGCTCCAGGATTTGCGCAGCAATACCGATGTAATTGGAGGAATGGTGGTTTTAGTGGCTGATGACTTTCGCCAAAATTTATCTGTCATTCAAAAGGGCACACCTGCAGATAAAATTAAAGCATGCCTCAACTCGTCTATTTTATGAAACAAGGTGACAAAATTCAGTTTAACTACGAATATGAGAGTGCATTTGTATAATGATACCAATGCTGGAAACTGTGCTGACACACTATTAAAAACTGGCGATGGGCGGTTGGAAACGGATGCTGAGGGCTGCGTTAAAATGACGAGAGATTTTTGTAATTTAGTACAGAGTCATTCCGAATTAATTTCGAGCGTTTATTCAGATTTAACGAACAACATGCATGAAGACAAATGGTTATGTGAAAGGGCGATTCTTGCACCAAAAATGAGAGCGTTAACAAAATAAATTCAGATATATTAGCGAAGTAGCAGGAGAAAAGACAGAGTATTTGTTAGTAGACACAGTTATGGACACAGAACAGAGCACTTCATATCCCGTAGAGTTTCTAAATTCTATAGAGTTGTCAGGTGTGCCCTCACAAAAGCTTCAATTATAATTAGGCGTCCCAGTCATGCTAATGCGAAATTTAGATGTTCGTCGGTTATGTAACGCGACAAGACTGCATGACACATCTTGGACGGAACATAATCGGTGCTACAATTTTGACAGGCGTAGGAAAAGATGAAAATGTTATTATACCACGGATCCCTATAATTCCCATAGATCTTCCTTTTCAATTCAAAAGGTTGCAGTTCCCTATTAAGCTCAGTTTTGTAATGACAATTAATAAAGCGCAAGGGCAAACGTTACAGGTTGCGGGGGTCAACTTAGAAAACCGTGCTTCTCTCATGGTCAGCTGTATGTAGCATGTTCGCGTGTGTCAAATGCCCAGAATCTCCACATTCTTTCCCCGAATGGAAAAACATATAATATTGTGTACAGTAGCGTCTTAAAATAGTGTTCAGTTAGTTTTTTTTCCAAAATTCCCACAATCAATTAATCAGAATTCACATAGATCTTCCCTTTCAATTCAAAATTTCTTATTTAGCTCAGTTTCTTTTCAATTCCAAATGCTGCACCTCTGACTCTCTCCTAATGGTGTTTAATTTAATCGCGTTTGCTTTGGTATAAAGTTGAGCCCATT